CTGTGAATGACTGACCAGTTAACAAAACAATGGTTGTATCCCCAATTGTGCCTTAGGTGAAGAAATGTTCAACTGTCCGGACAAGTGTGTGGGGTTTAGTGGTTGAGCACTGACCTATGAATCAGGAGGTTGAGATTCAGTTTCTGGTCAGGGCATATGCCTGGGTTGTGGGCTTGATCCCCAGTGTGAAGCCTGTGGGAGGCAGCTGATCAAGGACTCTCTCTCATCATTGATGTTTCTATCTTTCTCTCCCTCTCCCTTCTTCTCTGAAATAAATAAAATATTTTAAAAAACCAAATACAACATTTCAAAACATAATACAGCAAAAGCAAAGTCTATTGAGGCTCATTTAAAGAAAAATTTATAGCTGTGTATGCCTGCATTAAAAAAGAATGTCTCAAATCCATAGCCTAAACTTATACCTTAAGTAGCTAGAAAAAGAAGAGTGAACTAAACTAAAGGAAGCAGAAGGAAAGAAAGATTTAAGATTAAAGTGGAATTAAATGAAATAAAAAAATAGAAAAACTACAAAGAAAAATCAAGGAAGCCAAAGTGGATTCTTTAAAGAAAGAAAAAATTGACAATCTTTTATTTAAACTGATCAAGAAAGAGAAAAGACTAAAACTACTAAAACAAAAAGAAAAGAGGAGGCTAATTATCGACCTTACAGAAATAAAAAGAATTATAAGGGAATACAAGAACAACTGTATGAAAAAAATTTAATAACTTAGATGATATAGATGGTATAAACAGATTTCCAGAAAAACACAAATTGCTGATACTAACTCAAGAAGAAATAATCTAAATGGACCTATAACAAAGAAAGAGATGTAGTTAATATTTTAAAACTTCCCCAAAGAAAAGTCTAAGTCAGGGTACATTCACAGGTGAATTCTACCAATAACTGAAGAAGATTTAAAAACCAGTCCTTCACAAATTTTTCCAAAATAGAATTTATTCCCAAATTATGTTTTGAGGCCAATATTTTCCTTATACCAATGCCAGACAAAACATCACAAGAAAACTACAGACCAATATCCCTTATGTAGATAGATGCAAAAATCCTCAACAAAATACTAACAAACCGGATCCAGAAATATGTAAGGATTATATACCACAACCAAGTGGGATTCATCCCCGAAATCCAATATTGGCTTAATATCTGAAAATCAATCAGTAAAATAAATCATTTTTATAGAATGAAGAACAAAACCTGTAAAATCCAATAACCTATCATAATAACTATAGCAATAGAATTTCCTTAATTTGATAAAAAGATCTATGAAAAGCCCACAGATAACATCATTTACAATTGTGAAAGACTGAACAGTTTCTCTTTTAGATCAACAAGAAAAGGATGTCTGGTCTTGCCACTTCTATTCAACAATATACTAGAGATTCTAGCCAGGGCAATTAGGCAAGAAAAAAGATATAACAAAGATCCTAAATAAAGTACTGTCGTGTAGAACAAAATTTGAAGTTTGGGGGCTGTAAGGGCACTAAAAGTCATTGCTCTTGTTGCTCATAAAAAGGGAGGACAATACTTCATTGTCATATAAAATGGAAGACTCAATGTGGCTCTCTCCTAAGAAGCCAGCAGAAAGCTGTGGATTTCACATCAAAATTAAGAAATAATTATTGATCATTAAAATATAAATGCAAAGTGTGATATGTAAAGACAAGCATGCCAGAAATATAAAGGCAGCAAGTAAAGATTCTAATTTCTTTTTTTTTTCCTTCTCCCTCTCCTTCCCGCCCCAGCTCTCTCCTCTAATTCCGAGGCTTCCCCAAGTAGAAGGTGGGTGTGGGGGTTGGGGGTGGGGAGGAAAGAGAGCCCTTGGACTAATGTGGGGAGAGGGGCCTCCTGCACAGACTGCAAGTGGAGGAGGGGGCGCCCAGGTCTTTGGGGGGGACCCGGGAAATCCCCAGAAATAAGGGCGGGATCTGGGTAGCCCGAACTAGGCTGCCAGGGAGTCACCAACCACAACGTAGTCCACGGAGTTCCTGAGACAGCTGCGACTGGGACTTCCAGTGCAGGTGGCGGGGTTAGAGGGGGGCGTGGTCTTCCAGGAAGGAGGATTCTAATTTCTTGAACAACTTGATTATGCCCTGAGATCTGGGAATGTCTTATGGATGTGAAGAAACCACCTATGCAGCCACCTGAATTGCAGGAATGATGACTACAGGTCCTTTCTCAGAAGGACTCATAATAAAATCCAAGTCTATAAAGTGATCACTGAAGGCTGGCCAGTGAAAGGTAAGAATTTCTCTAAAATGAAAACCATTCCACCAAATTGAGCAATTGTAAGAAAAGGTAGGCAAAAATGGATTAATATTTTGCAGTCGCTTCTGATATTTTGATTCAGACTTTAGAAAATTTTCATTTCATCTTCAAATTTTTCTTAGTGTTCTACTGTTTCTTAAATTATTTGCTTAGAAGACTGGCAACAAAACACAATAGATTAATAACAAATCTCCTTGGAAAATACTATAAACTAAACATTATAGACCTATTGAATATTCCCTCCCAAAACAGAAGACTATATACATACTTCACAAGTGCACATTGAACACTCTCCAGAAGAGACACATTTTAGGTAACAAAATGAATTAATTTGGCAGGGTTGAAATCATATAAAGCATATTCTCTGACCACAATGGAATTAAAGCAGAAATCAGTAACAGAAGGAAATCTGGGAAGTTCACAAATACATGGAAATTAAATAACAAACTCATAAATAATAAAGTCAAAGAAGAATCACAAGAAAAATTATAAAATACTTTGAAATGAATAAAAATAAAAACACAACATATGGCCTGGCTGGGGTAGCTCAGTGGTTGAGCACTGACCTATGAATCAGGAGGTTGAGATTCAGTTTCTGGTCAGGGCATATGCCTGGGTTGTGGGCTTGATCCCCAGTGTGAAGCCTGTGGGAGGCATCTGATCAAGGACTCTCTCTCATCATTGATGTTTCTATCTTTCTCTCCCTCTCCCTTCTTCTCTGAAATAAATAAAATATTTTACTATATATTTTAAAATAGCAATGTTGAAGAATAAGTCAAAAGACCAGTAGGAACTATTAAAATACATCACTAACCTTCTGGAAAACTCTATCAGAGAGATGAGAACATTTTTGGACTCTGAGAAATATTACTTTGTTATGTTTATTTGGAAGAACTTAGAAGAAGATATATATTTTATCATGGCTTTCTTTGCATAGCCAATAATAAATACAATACTGGTTACAGCATTCATCCTTATATGTAACCAAAGACTGCCATTAGATATTGAAAACTATTGAAATCCACGGATGCTTGCCTGGTCCTGCTCCAGCCCCTTCTTTGA